ACCCTGAGATTTTATTGGTGCTATTGAACCAGAGGCAGTGTCACCGTTTGATCGGGCAGCGCCTCATATCAGCACCGCCTGCTCACGTATACAGCACTGGCAGCAGGCCCATGTCCGCGAGCCACGTGTAACTGAGATATTGCAAAACCAGGATAACCCCGCAGCTTGATTTCCAGAAGCTGACTGCTACTGAAGTTACCGGGAACAGCGGGTGCTCAGCACCTCTGAAAATTAGCCCCCTTGTTTTACATGGGCTCAGTTTGGAGGACCCAGGAGGCAGTATGACCTAGTGGATAGGGCACCGGAGTAGGACTCAGGAGACCTGGGTTTTGTTCCTGGCTCTGCCACTGGCCTGACCCTGGCAAGTCACCTCCCCCGCTCTGTGCCTCAGTTTCCCCATCCATAAAATGGGGAGAATGATCCTGACCTCCTTTAATACCTAGGGTTAAGAAGCATTATGGAAGAGCTAGGGGTTATTATTTCAGTGCTGAGAGCAATGCATTACACCCAACAAACTCTGAAAATATACTCTCTTCAGGCTAGGAGGAAGGATGGCCTAGTGGTGAGTGTGCTAGCCTGGAATTCAGGAGACCTGGTTTCAATTTCCTGCTCTGCCACACACTCCCTGTGTGACTCTGGTCAAGTCCCTTAGCCACTTTGTGCTTCAGTTTTCCCAGCTGTACAATGGGAATAACAGCGCTGCCCTGCCTCGTGGTGGGTGCATGATGAGGGGATCAGATATTACGGTGATGGGGCCAGATAAGTACCTGAGACATCAAGAAGAATCGATCCAAGGGAGCAGACAACTCAGTAACAGGGTTTGCAACTGTTCACTTCTAGGTCAGCAGCTTACTGTGGGGAGCGTCAAATGGCAAAGCTAGTTCCCAGATGTTAAGCCGGAACGGAGCTTGGCTGTGTCTCAGTCCAGTCCCTGGTAGCCCAGTTGTCTACGTCACAGAAAGCCATCCCCACAACTGGCCATCTCCGTAGAGGGGCCAAGAACCGACTCCCCTCCAGATCAGGGTCAAGACACACGGGCAGGGAAGCTGGTTGTCCATGTTGCATTTGCCCTTCTAATCGAAGGGCTGTTAAATCAGCACCTTTCACCTCTTGGGAACCAATAAAACAGTAGCTGAAAGGCTGCAGCAATGGCAGCCTGAAGACGGACGTACCAGTCCGGCAGAACAACCCACCTGAAATGCAGTCACAAAGAGCCACCCCTCGAGACTTGTGAGCAGAGAGACACGTGTCCAGCAGAGGAATCCATGGCTGTTTTACTCAGGGAATGAGAAGAGCTATGGAAGGACACTGCCGGCACAAGGACAAATGGGAATCAAATGGGCAAGAGTAAATGTAAAAGGTTTGTAACCATGAGAAGAAGGAGGTGCTGAAACAGCTTCCCAGGAGGACCGGAGAGGGCAGAGGGAAGACACAAACAACCTAGCTAGTAAAAAGGAGGACTTGTGGCACCTTAGAGACTAACAAATTTATTTGAGCATAAGCTTTCGTGAGCGACAGCTCACTTCATTGGATGCATGCAGTGGAAAGTGAGCTGTCGCTCACGAAAGCTTATGCTCAAATAAATTTGTTAGTCTCTAAGGTGCCACAAGTCCTCCTTTTCTTTTTGTGGATACAGACTAACACGGCTGCTACTCTGAAACCTAGCTAGTGCGAAGACAGAGCCCGATAGGTTTATAAGTGGGAACACAAGATGTGGTTGCCTGTGATAGAAGGGATGACAATAACTAGGAGACCCCTTCCAGTCCCGTGCCCCAGGTGAATACCCAAATTCAGCAAAGATGTATGCATCTCACTCAGCGGTGATTTTCGAGTCTCATGTAGCTGGTACTTTTTAAACATAAATATATAAAATAAAAAAGCAGCTTCCTTTCAAGTAATAGAGGGGAAAAAAAATATTTCCAGCCCTCGGGGCTGCAGAGAGATGCCTGAAAACGTCAGAAGATTTTTAAGACAATCTTGATTTCGGGTGGGCCTGACTCATGATTTTTGCACACTTAGGGCTGGCAACATGGCACATACTCAACCTTACCCACACGAGTAACCCCACGGATTTCAAATGCAAATTTAGGCACAAGGACAGGATCTTGGCCTCAGAGTCTAAGCCCCACAGGGCGGGGAACTGTATTTAACTAGGTGCCTGTACAGCACCAAAACACAACGGGGACCCGATTTTGTTTGGCAGAGCTGGAAACGGAACCCAGGAGTCCCGACCCCCAGTCTCTTGCCTGACCCCCTGTGCAAACCGAAAGTCAACCCGCGCCACTGGTTGGAACAGTCTCAGACATCTGGTTACCACGTTAGCAGCCACAAACACAGACAGCCCTTCTCAGGAGCATTGCAGCCAGAAGTTCCAAAGCGTTCCTTTCAAAGACGCTGCACCGCCCCATTCCATAGCAAGAAGCCGCTCCCGGCGGCGCTGAACACAAAGGGTACAGTCTAATGATTTTAAATGGCACCTGACTGCAGGCAGGCAGAAGAGATCTGTTGCTTCAGTGAGATGAACTAATAACAACTACTAAAGTACTGAACACCTTGTGCTAGAATCGCTACAGATCCAGGTGAAGGGGTGCACAAGGGTCACCCTGACCAGTAGATCTCACAGCAGAGGGGAAGCTGTCTAGCAGCTGGCTTTCGTCATCATGATTTAGTTATATTTAAGGCCCTACTTGAATCGCGGGATGATTATCAAATAATTGTTGCTGAGTTGCCGACAAGACATGGAAAAAAAAAAAAAATCAGGGAAAAATAATAATGGAACTTTATTAATTGAGGACATTTGGATAAGCCAGAGAAGCCCTATTTGTTTAAGAAGTATTGCTGGAACAATATAAACCCTCAAGTATTATGTTATGCCTGCTAATTTTTTTTTGGATAACCAGACATTTTGCTGCAGCTATATTACAGTCATTAATGCACAGGGCTGACAGCCCGAGCCCCGGCCACTATCAGCTCAGACACATGGAGTGCTACTGTACTAATGGGGGAAAAACGTGTGTGTTGCAAACCTCAGAATGTGTGCAAAAACTGTGGGACTGTGCAAAGTAAGCTAATTAAAATCAAACCTGCTGTGGAAGTCTAATATTGCGGGATCCACAATATCACAAATTAAGTAGGGCCTTGGTTATATTACAATAGCATCTAGAGGCCTCACTGTGTGGGCTCTGTACAGCCACACAGTGAGAGACAGTCCCTGCCCCAGAAAAGCTTATCATCAAACAATATTTAATTATTTGTATTGTGATAGCACTTAGAGGCCAGATCCCCAGTGTACAAGACAGGCAAAGGGTGGGAGAAAATGCCATTATCCCTGTTTTACAGATGGGAAACTGCGGCACAGAGAGATTAAGTGATTTGCCCAAAGGTCACACAGGGAATCTGTGGCAGAGCCAGAGCTCGAGGCACTTCTGAGTCCCAGCCCAGTGGCTTAACCCCAAGACCAAATTTCCTTTCTGACATTGCTCTGGTATCGCAAAGATTACAGACAAAATGATGGAAGGAAACTTTCAGGAAGACAGAGCTACCCATTTGCACACAAACAAACCTCCCACCTGTAGTTTCAAAGTTGTTGGATTTTTTTCTTCAGTTATGTGCTAAAAATACACCACCACCAACCTCTGACCACCGTTTCTGTGTGCTGCTAAACAGCTGCTGAGTTACATCCCAGAGGGGTTTTTCGATAATGGAAACATTTATTTCCTGCAGCTATATGGACATTTTAATCCTGCTTTAGGGCCAGAACTTGCAACCTTTTCCTCCCATCAGGGTCAGGCTTTGTTAGTGTCATATATTTAAGGGGCCTTGCTTGTCAAATGAAAATAACTCCCCCCAGCCCAAGAAAATCCTGTACCGTGCAGGTTTGCACATTTCCACCTGCAATATAGATTCGATTTTGCTTCGGTCGCGACGGAGACGCGTGTCTGTTCTTTGTAAGTACTACGGAGTGTTCAACAGCTGTTGGGATCCTGCTTGGCATAGATATGAGGCGTTATAATGCAGGAGGAAAGAAGAACGCCTGTGCTCTGGGGCAAGGAATTCACTTTTCAGAGACCATTGGGGAAAGCCAAGAATTAATGGGTCCAATTTCCTGTTGCCCAAGGGCCCCTTTGTACAAATGAGGTTGGCACAGAGGGTCTGCAAAGCCGGTATTAACAAACAACCCTGGTGCAGGTAGCTGCTGAACCTGGCATAGAGCCAGATGTGCCTCTGAAGCAACCCAGTGTACAAGGTGGGTTGTTCTGCTGAAGAGTGTGGGCGAACCAGAGACAGGAGGGGGCCTGACTAGGGTGGACGGGTAGGTTGGCAAATCTATGTGCCATTTAGGGCAGCCCTAGCCTTTGCTGAGGCTGCACTGGCCCCTTAATAGGTGTAAATTGCCTCTCACCTGTTCGTGCGCAGGGATGAATCCGCCCACTGTATTGGGAGCATAATCCAGCCCCACTCTCTCCAAAAGGCTCACAGCTTTCTTGCCTATGGACCCTGCCACAAGTGCCTTGTGCAAAAACAGCTGAGAGGCATTTTGCTTCTTTATGCCAGGCCACCTTTACTTCCTAAACAGAGCACCGATACAATGAGCAGGCCCAAAAGGGTCAGGCAGGAAGCAGGCAAAGAACCAATCACGATGCCAAAATGCCACAAGACCCTCCCACTGCCAGGCAGTAGAGCTGCAGCAGATCTGCCCCGTGGAAGATCATCTAGCCAGCCTCTGGGGCAGGAGAGAAAGAGCTGGGGATCCACCAGCCTCGTCATCATATCCCCCGGCACAGCCGTGCCTTGTTGTGGCACTGGGCTTGATGCCACTCAGAGGGTGCTTCTACACCCCTTTGCTCTGAGGAACTGCACTGGTTCTGCTTCAAAAGGGCCTCTGGATCCACAAAGCGGGCAGGTATCGCCCCCTTCAGCACTTTCCCACAAGCAAAGCCAGGAGCAGTTGCTTCCATCCATGACACTGCCCATGTAACTACAACGCTGGCAGCCGTTACCTCCTTATCCTTCAGTCCCAGGAGCAGCACCTCCTCCATGAGGGTTAGGCGGATATCTTTGGAGTCACCAGACTCCTCCTCATCCAGGTGTCTGTCTTTCGAGTCGTCATCCTCACCCTCCAGCCTCTTGTCGGCGTTCTTGCCCACGTCAGCACGCCGCCCTCTGTGAATGAGCGTCGTCATCCTTTCCCACAACTAGGAGCTAGCAAGGGTAACGAAAGGAAGTGTTAATGGGTGCACGGGTTCCAGAAAGGATGGCTTAAAGGCACTAAATTACACGGAACCAAAGGCTGGAATCCCAGCCAGGACAGCCCTGCCCCTTTACAAGGGGAATATTCTTAGTCCAACACTGCTGAGCAGCATTTACAATGCAGGAGTGGCTGCATTGCACTGGTGCTGTGTGTTTAAAAGGCCAGATTATGCAGGAACAAAATCTCCGAGCAGGCAAGCAGACAAGGTCTGTCCCACCTAGAATGGGAAGAGGCTAGGGGCTCGCCTTTCTACATCCACTGATGGCCTGGTACCTGCACAGACCTTGGACCCATCTGGAGACTTAGGTCTTCACATAGATTTTCATCCTTCCTAGCCTCATGGAGCCAGGCTGTTGTGGCTTGGCTGCTTATGGCTTTCGCTGGAGTCCCCCACCTCTCTTGGGAAGGGATAAATGTAATCAGTAACCCCTGCAGGAGAGGGGGAAATGGAGGTACACCAGAGGGGCTTCCCACCTTGGCCTAATCCTGCCAGTACCCCAAACCCCCAGCTCACACCTCTACAGTTTCTAGGGCCAGAAGGGAACGTGCTCACCCTCTCCCCTGCCCACCTCCATTTCACATTTTGCTTTCCACAGCTGAGGGGACCCCATGACCCAGTTTCTTAGGCGAGTTAGGGTAGGAAGGTTTCAGAGTAGCAGCCATGTTAGCCTGTATCTGCAAAAATGAACAGGAGTACTTGTGGCACCTTAGAGACTATTTGTTAGTCTCTAAGGTGCCACAAGTACTCCTGTTCTTTTTAGGGTAGGAAGGAGCTATAGAAAATGAACTGGGCTCAGGCACTGAACTTAAAGAGGTAAAGAAGGAGATGTTCCCAGCAGCCCCTTTCCATGCTGGGGGTGGGGGTGGTGTCCTAGGGAAGAGACACAGTCACCCGCCGCGCGCTCACACACACACTTCCCACTACCTCTGCCAGGAAAACTTAAATTCCAGCAGGGGAAAAAATAATTTAAGAGGGGAAAAATCCTCCCCATGAAATTTACAAATTAAAGGAGACCACTGTGAAATTTACAAGTGAAATGCCCATTTATTTAATGTTGCTGCCTAAGTATTTAACCCTCGTTGGCGATTTTCCCCAGTCTTACCTGTGACTCTGATCTCCTCTTCTGGGAGGCCTCGTCCACTCCCCCCTTCCCCTCTGCTTTGCCTGGTATTAAACTTCTGAGCCCAGAGAAAATAGAAACTTTACTTCCTGGTTGAGCTGGAGCAGGGGGGAGGAAACACATCAGCTTCCCAACCCTGGGTAACCTATCCTGGTGTTTGTTAATGCCCAATCAGAGGCTGTTCCTCCAATAGGGATTGCAGAGGGGTGGGTCCCTGCTGGTACAGACAAACTTGTAGGCTGGGACTGCTTTCTTTCTTTTTCTTTGTTGACAGCTGAGGACACCAATAAGACGATGTGTGTGCGTGGGGGGGGGAATGGTGGTAGCTTGTTCAGCCCCCCCAACGCCACCGACCAATGGCAGATGCAGAAATCACCCCCCTGAAGACTGGAGTCATAGAGGTGTATTGTTGTGAAGCCTGGTAGGATTGTGTTGTCTTGTATGTGCAGCACGTGTGCTGGGTTACCTTGCATTGTGTGTGGTGAAGTGGTGCAGTATTGCCTCGTATTCTGCACTGCCAGGTTTCAGAGGAGCAGCCGTGAGAGTCTGTGTCCCCAAAAAGAACAGGAGGACTTGTGGCACCTTAGAGACTCACCAATTTATTTGAGCATAAGCTTTCGTGAGCTACATCCGATGCATCCGATGAAGGGAGCTGTAGCGCACGAAAGCTTATGCTCAAATAAATTGGTGAGTCTCTAAGGTGCCACAAGTCCTCCTGTTCTTTTTTGTATTCTGTACTGTGCAACAGAAGAATATTGCATGGTATCTGACGTGGAGCAGCTTTGCCTGGTATTGTACCATATGTTGTTTGGCCATGCATCCGATGAAGTGAGCTGTAGCTCACGAAAGCTCATGCTCAAATAAATTGGTTAGTCTCTAAGGTGCCACAAGTCCTCCTTTTCTTCAAGGTGCAGGTTGTGCAGCACCGAATTGTTATCACATAGTTTCCCCAGCCCTGCAGTGTAGCATTGTGCTGGACAATACAGATAACAGCCAGGCAGTCCTGCGTTATTTTGTAACAGTTCTGTTGTGTAGGTGTGCCCTGGTATTGCACCATCTGTGTCACAGCCATGCAATATTGCACAGCATCTCCTAGGCAGCTGTGCAATGCTGTTATCATATTGTATGTCGTGCCGCTGTGCAATATTTTAGCATATTGTATATTGAACGACATGTAGAATGCTGGGCAGCTACACCGTGATGTATTGCATTTGTTATCCAGCGTTTTGATCATAGCGTTTATCTGCATTTCACTACATTTCAGCCGCGCAGTATTCAATGGAAAGCTTCTGTTCTGAACTCATGTGGACAGCAGAACGAGAGGCAGAAAGGGGAGTCTTGGCTGTAAAAAATGTTCGGGAGATAAATCTTGTTTATGCCGTCTACAAAATTTGCAAAGTCTGAGGCTATGCAACAATAGCTGTTCGTCAGTTAAATCCCAGTCATCTAGCTCACTCCACTGAAATATGAATGAATGTGCTGTCAGGAATGTACAAATCCCTCTGCAAATTATTGACAAATCCGTATCCACAGGAATATAGAAAACTGAAGCAAAATTCTGCTGTACGGTAAATTACAACTAATTGGCTATTTAAAATGGGCCATCTTTTCAGTAGTTTTCAGCATCAAAACACGAATGTGTTTTAAAGTATTTTCCTTGGTCCCAGAGCTCATTCATAAGCATAATAATATGGCAAGAGGGAGAACCCCCTTCTGTAGGAACTCTTGGGAAAAATTATTTGAGTGAAGCACAGGACTCTGTATGAGTCCACTAGGAACTTTGCTCTTCCTATCAATTACATGTGGAAGGCACTCAGATAGAAAGCTGGTGGGAGGCAGTGGAAAACCCTGGAGGTCTGGGGGTAGTTTTTGTTACATAAATATGGGCACTAAAGTGTGATTATTTGCAGGAATTTGGAGAACTCCACTTTCAGGGCCTGTTTGATGACTGAGAACAGTATATGGGGAGGAAGGATTAAAGACTGAATGTTGCACTGTCTTGTCACTCTCTCGCTCTTGTAATGCTTTGGGAATAGGACCATGTGAAGAAACCCCATGATGGCATATCACGGGGTAGAGGGGAGCTGAGACCCAGCTAGGGTTACCCCCAGACACAGAAGTGTGAAGGGAAGAGCCCTGTTTCAGGGGCATCAGCTCCCACCCTCTCCCCATGTGAGCTGGGGTACAAAAGAAACTGAGGGGCCACCCAGAAGCTCAGCTGGAGGGATCAGAGACCAGCAGTACCTAGGAATGATCCCCTCCCTTCCATCCATCCCCTTGATCTCCCCACTTCAGTCTCACTGCCCCTGCTCCCCTTTTCATTTGACCCTTGTCCTGTTGCCCCCTCTTCCTCTCTAACTAATTCCCTCTCAACAACCCTCTTCCACCTTTCAGAAAAGAGAAACCAACAAAAAAAGTATGGCACATTTGTGACCATTGCATCATTCACTCTGCTTGTATGGGATTGTCCTATTCCCCCAACTCTCTGTGTCTCTTGTCAGTTTAGATGATAAGCTCTTTAGGGCATGGTCTCTTACTCTGTTTGTACAGTGCCTAGCAGAGTGGCATCCTGATCTTGGGTGGGGTCCCTAGATGCTACCATAATACACATAATAAATGCAGTGCTGGCTGGATGTCTACCTGCAGTAGTTACTCCTGGGGGAATTCTGCGCCACTGAGCATGCACAGAATTTATGTTCCCCACAGATTTCTTTGCTTCCCCTCAGAAAAATGACTTTCTGACAGGGAAGCAAAGGGAAGCCACAAAAGCGGTCATGCGACTCTCCCCAGCAGCATGTTCTGGGTGCCCAGGGAAGCCAGCCAAGAGGTAAATCACTGTGGGGCAGGAGGTGGGACTGGGGAAGACCTGGCTGGTGGCTCCTACCCTTGCGCTAGGCTCAGCTGCTAGTCGGCCGGCTGGGCTGGGGAGGATGGGACTTTCTCTTCCCCTGCATGGCATGCGGGGCCGGGTCAGACCCACCCCGAGATTTCTCCTCCAGCTGCAGGAAGCGCTGCACACTCCCCCTCCCGCACTTCCTGCGCCCATCACTCCTCAGCTGCAGTGGGAGGGATTCCTATAGAGGGACCTGCTTCCCCATCCATCCAACCCCCATGCATCCAGACCCCCTCATGCCCTGACCCTCCCCACGATGAGCACCACTCCCCCTGCACCTGGATCACCTTGACGAGCCACCTGCACCCAGATCCGAGCTCCACCCGGCTGCACTTGGATCCCCATCCCACTCCCCCAGCTTCTCGACCCCCCCATAGACCGCCTTGCTGAGCCCCAATGACCTTCACCTGGACCCCCCTGCAGAGTCCCATTACTGTTGCACCCAGAGGTGCGTCTGGCAGGGATGGGAGTGCTGCCATGGATCCATAACTTCTGCACAGTGGACAGCACTGAGAGGCTGCAGGGAGAAGATAGTATAGAATACACCCAATGGCAACCAGGATCACGAGCAGGCTTTTCGCAGACAATGTCTCCAGCCATCACCTCCTTAGATGAACCTGCCCCTCTCTATTCAGCACACAAATGGCACCTTAATTCAGCCCTACACAAGCAACTCTGTTGCAACTCCTGATATATTATGAATACTTGGAATGTGTTCATCTGTGCATACAAATTGCTCTGGTTGAAACAAACAAGGTTTAGCAGGTAATATTTATGCTCTAACATTAAAGCACAAGTCTAAGCTGAAGATGGGTAAGCAGGGGTTCTCCTTTAAAACTGCAGCATAGGTCTGACCTCCAGAGTGGAGCACAGCAGAATTCCTGAGGTGTGACAGGTAAAGTCAGAACACAGGGGAAATGGGAGAATAGGAAAGGAGACAGGGGTATGCTTGTTCGTTTTTATTATTTTCTTATTTCTTTCAGAATGCAAATAATTGTAGGAATCATATTGCATCATTCCACATTATTATGCAAACTCTGTAAAACAGTATTTTTACTATTGTTCTCCATTAAATTGTTCTCAAATACATTGAGATCCTGTGATTATTCATCTTAAAATAAAACATAAACAGAACTACTAGAGAGGCAATTTTTCTTCAACAGTAAATATTTTATTTGGGCTCTAAAACCGGCAGACTCTAAAACAAGCAAGACACACCAAGTGAAAGTCCTCAGCCTTTATGAACTTTTCATTAAAAAGTCAATTATCTACTCAAATCAAATGTATGGATCATTATATTTTAAAAATATACAGTCACAAATTATTAAGTAACATTGTTTTAATTAGGAAGTAGGATAATAAGATATTCTTAGTTTAAAAGTTAAAATTCAAGGACAGGAATGTTTAGCTATTCACATCTAATCTAAATACAGCAGTAGTTGTTACCTGTATTTATAAAGAGCATTACTCCAGTGAATTTAAAGTTATAAAGAGCAAACCAAAATTATTTTTTGAAAAAACATGCAATGGCATTGTTTCTGACAGCTGCAATTAATCATTTCACATACATAAAAGCTGAGCTGTCTATATTTCAGATATTTAGTTATAGCCTGTTATAATTGGTAATACTGTACTTGGCATAGCTGCCACAATATGATAACACTTAGCTGTTATATATATATATTTATCTGGCATCAGAGCTGCATATAGATTCCTACATTTCAGTTCAAAATTAGGAACTAAAGAGGTGAATGGTGTTCTTTTTCAAGCTCGGGTAAGATACCAATGGGAGAAATGAACACAATCAGGCCACCTGAAGTTTGCTTCTTAGAGATAATAAAAAAGAGAAGCTATAGTATTATTATAAAATGACTACACAATTTTCTTAACTAAATTTCCTGACGTAATTCTACCAAAACTCAAAATTCCGGTTGAGATTTTAGTTTTCATGTTCAGTCCGTAAGGCATGTTCTGAACAAAAAATTCTTAAGCTTCTGAGTATGGTCCAGGAAAAGACACCAGTGGAAACTTTGCATAGTTTCACTTTTAAGAGTATACATTGTACCACCAATAGGATTTCAGCAAAATCTCTAAAGAAAAGGTGTTATTGAAGGCCTGCGCTAAAAATCTTCTTGCTTAAAAAGTTTTTCTCAGATCAGATGAATGGTTATGCCCTGTCTATCCTTCTAGACTGGAATATAACCCCCTTTAAA